AATCCAACTGGTTGGAAGTCTTCCTCTCTAGTCTGACCCTCCACCTTTCCAAGCGTGATATCCCTTTCCAAGGAATAGCTTCTCCTAGGAATGTGTCCAAAGTATGAGGGATGAAGTTTCGAAATCCTCCCCTCCAAGGAGCATTCTGTGTGTACCTTTTCTCAAGATATACTTGCTCATTCTTTTAGCAGTCCATGTGACTTTCAACACTCTTCTCCAACACTAAAACTCAAAGGCACCAGTTCTTCCATAATGCTTATTCACTGTCTATCACTCAGATATAAGTGAAAAGAACATGGCCTGAATCAGGCACACTTTAATCTTTAAACCGACATTATTGCTCTTCAGTATTTCGAGAGGTCCTTGAGAGTGAACTTGTGCAATGCAAAGCATCTCCTCATAGTCTGACTACTGGTGCCAAGGGTGTTGATTGTGGATCAAAGTAAGAGGAAACTGTTGACAGTTTCAGTAATTTTTCCATCTATCATGATTTTGTTGTGTCATCTGCATAACAGAGATTGTTGATAGATCTTTCACCAATCCTGACACCACATTTCTCCTCATAGAGCCCAGCCTCCCGGATAATCTGTTCTGCATACAGGTTGAAAAGGTATGGAGATAGGACACATCCCTGGCGTGTGCCCTTTCCCGTTTTGAACCATGCGGTGTTTCCTTGCTCTGTTCTGACGACTGCCTCTTGGTCCAAGTATAGGTTCCATATTAGCCCGATCAAGTCTTCTGGGATTCCCATTCTTCTCAGAGTCAGCCACGGTTTGTTATGATCCACACAGTCAAACGCCTTTGCATAATCAATGAAACACAGCTAGACATTCCTCTGGTGTTCCCTGCTTTCAGCTAAGATCCATCTAACATCAGCTACAATATCTCTAGTACCACGGCCCCTTTTAAACCCAGCCTGGACTTCTGGCAGTTTTCTGCTGATGTGCTGTTCCAGTTATGCAGATGACACAACCCTGCTTGCTGAAACTGAGGAGGACCTGAAGCGCTTGCTGCAGAGGGTCAAGGACTGCAGCCTGCAATATGGATTGAGGCTCAATATCAAGAAGACAAAGATTCTCACCACTGGACAATTTGGCAGAATCAGGATGGATGATGAAGAGATTGAGATTGTTCACAGCTTTAGTTTGCTGGCTCCACAGTCAAAATTGTTGGCACCAGCAGCCAGGAAATTAAAAGACATATTGCTATGGGAAAGTCTGCTGTTAGGGACCTCTCCAAAATACTGAAGAGCAATGGTGTCTCTCTGGAGACTAAAGTGCGTCTGATAAAGACCATGGTCTTTGCAATCACTTGTTATGTGTCAGAAAGCTGGGCAATGACCAGGGAGGACAGAAGGAGAATTGATGCTTTTGAGCTTTGGTGTTGGAGAAGAGTGCTGAGGGTGCCATGGGCTTCTAAGAAAACAAACAGATTCATCCTGGAGAGGGTTAAACTGGGCTGCTCCTTGGAGGCAAGGATCCTGAGGCTTCATCTGACATACTTTGGACATGTTATAAGGAGGGACCGGTCCTTGGAGAGGGACATCATGCTTGGGAGGGTGGAGGGAGGGTGCAGGAGGGGAAGACCCTCTATGAGGTGCATTGGTTCAGTGACTGGAGAAATCGGGATGGGTGTATTGGAGACAATGTGATTGGCACAGGACAGAGCAGAGTTTAGGGCTATTGTACACAGGGTCACTATGAGTCACAAGCAACTCGACAGCACATAACAACAACAACATCATGATTTTGCTTTTTGGCCTAGTGGTGAAGGCCTTTGTTTTCTTAATGTTGAGATGTAATTCATACTGAAGGCTGTAGTCTTTGATCCTCTGCAGCAAGTGCTTCATTCAGGTCCTACTCACTGTCAGCAAGCAAGGTTGTGTCATCCGTGTAATGCATATTGTTGATGAGTCTTCCTCCAAGGTGTCAAATAAATACATTCAGTGGAGTTTCTATAATGAATGGTATTGTCATGTGTAGAAGAATGAATTAGGATCTATGCCTTATGCTACATGGGTATAGAGGTCAAACTATCTACTTTTCAAACATTAGCCATGACATCAGAGGGCTCCTCTAGCTTTCTTAAACCTGTGAATAGAATTCAGTTGTTTGTTGTTGTTGTTATGTGCCGTCGAGTCGCTTGCGACTCATAGGGACCCTATGTACAAGAGCCCTAAACTCCGCTCTGTCCTGTGCCAATAGCACTGTCTCTGACACTCCCATCCCAATTATCCCAGTCACTGAATCAA